TAGAAAATACAAATCTAAATATTAAATATATAATTGTAAGTTATAATTAAATTTCTTTTTTAAATAGCAAAAGCCAAGCTTGACTTTTGCTAAAAGTTATATATAATATTAAAAAATTTCTATATTTTTTTTTTAATATAGCGAAAACATATATTTGATTATAGTTTAAATTTAATATTAACAAAAAATACATCCTGAATATTAAAATGTAAATGTATAATGTAAAATTATTTTTTAAATAGCAAAAGCTGAGCTTAATTTTTGCTAAAAACTATATATAATATTAAAAAAAATTTCTATATATTTTTTTTAATATAGTAAAAACATATATTTAATTGTGACTTAAATTTAACATAAATGTATATTGTAAATTTTTTTTAAATAACAAGAGCCAAGTTTAAAAAACTATATATAATATTTAAAAAAAAAAACATTTTCTATGTTTTGCTTTTTCTAGCAATAACACAAAATTAATTTTTAAATCAAAATAAGAAATATATTTAGGTTTTTTTAAATCTACCACAAAGTTATAATTAACTTTAAAACTTTAATTTTGGATATTATATTTTTTATTTGTAAAACAAATATGGTTTAATATTATTGTACTATTTGTGGTTAAAGTAGAAAAATTGTGAGTACTCAAACAGAAAGATTGTATCGACAAGAACAATTTAGAAGAATAGATCCTTCTATTGATAATAGTTACAAAGAAACTAGAGAACTATTATTATCTACTAGTCAAAGCTTTAATATATTAATATTATCTGCTGAAGATTTAACTACATTATTTTTAGCAAGTAATATTGAACAAAGAAATGAGCAAGAATTAGAATATGAAGAAGTCAAATATGAAACAGAACAAGAAATAGATAATGAAGAGATAGAGCGAATAAAAAAATTTAGAGTAGCATTAAATTATAGTTCTGAAGATAGTGAAACTGAACAAGAAAATAATTTTGAAGATTTATCTTTGATAAAAGATACTGGACTACTTGATGATATAGAATTAGAAGATAGTGATATTGAAGAAGAAACAATTTTAAGCTTTAAAAGTACTAAAGCATATACTCAACCAAATTCAAAATATATACCATACTCTATATTATCAAATATATTTAAAGATTCTTTAACAATTCAATGGGTTTTATTATAGATTTTTTCTTTTCAACAAGCTTTTACTTTACCATATACAGCTTTATTAAAGCTTTAGTATTTAATGATGATTCAAATTTTCCTGAGACATTATATAAAGCTAAAGATGCTATATCATTTAAAAAAACAATTATACAATTTATTGTATATAAAAAATATCATTTTTTAACTAATTTAGAAAGTATATCAAATAATTCACAATCAAGTTGTTTTGAATGTAAAACATTATTAAAAAAACTAATTAGAACAAGCAAAGGAAAAATAATTTACAAACCAATTAAGATATATCCATATCAATTAATTTTAAGTCAATTAGCTATTTTATTGCAACAGCCTGGTTTAGAAGAGTTGTTAGAATCTTGTTATGAAAGAGAAAATACTTTATCTAATATTTTTTCTGATCTCTATAATAGACAAGTATAGAAAACTTATAAAAATGATCAAAACAACCTTTTTTTTAAAAATTTTTGCACAAAACTAATATTGGCTTTGCAATTAATATTGACTAGTTTAAAGTTACTACACATACAGTTTATTCAATTGCTAGAGTTTATTTAACAATTTTAAATTTGCTATGTCATCTAAGATATAAAAAAGAAAACACAATTTTTGTTAGTCTTATTCCTGGACCAAAAGAACCACCAACAGAAAATATTAATTTATATTTGGATCTATTAGTTGATAAGCTTAAACAATTATGGGCTAGTCAATCATTTGCAACTATAAAATATCCAGTTAGAAGAATATATTATAGAGCATTAATTTTAGTTTATGTAATACAGCAGCAAGAAATAAAATTTGTGAATTTTCTAGCCATTCTTCTAAACATGTATGTTTTAAATACAAAAGACTTTTTAAAACTAATGATACTTTAGATCAATTAAATATTGACAATTATACTTTATAAACTATTGAAGAACATAAAATAATAGCTGAGAAATAGAAATATTCTGTATCTAGTGAGTGTAAACAGTTGTTTGATCAATATGATATTTGATTGTCAAGTTTTTTCAATTATCATATTTTGATTCAATAAAATTTTCTGTATTTGATCTAATACATAATATTTTCCTTGGAACAGCTTATAAAATAATAAAAATTTGGATAATAGAAACTACAGTCGGCCCTCTCAAAACCAGTATGCATGGTTGACAGGTTTAGTATCAGAAATAGTAGATTATCAGTTATTACTTATGGAATGGGTGTCTGGTGGATTGATTTTTAACCGATTTCGGCAAATTATCAGTTTTGACAAAATCAGTTCTGAGAGGGCCGACTGTAATTTAATTTCAAAAATCAACTTATTAATATTTAAAATATTGTTAATAATAGTTTACTATCTGCTAATATTAAAAAAATTCCACAAAAAATAGTATTTAGTCTTCCAGGATAATCTTCAGATCCAGTAACAAAAAAATTAATATTAGTAATAGAATATTGAAATTCTATTATTTTTGGAATTGTATAATTATATATTGCTAATGTTTCTTTTTCTAATTGTTTATTTTGTAAATAATCTAAAGAAGCTTGTGTAGTTAATATTAATGTTGGTTTTATTTGATCTAAAAGTTTATAAATTTTAATTTGTTGATTTATATAATTAAGCATATCCAATTCAACAGTTCTTCTAGAAGTATAAAAACTTGCAATTTGTCTATTTAACTTTTCATAAACATAGCACCAATAACTATACCAAGAACCATAATTTAACATATCATCTTTTAAATATAAATGATAATGCATATTAGATGTTATTATATTAGAACCATATAGTTTTTGAAATTCTTTTAAAAATTTTATAAATAAACTATGTCCATGATTAATTTCTTCAGTGTAATTATTCGTTGTGACATAATTAATACTGTATTTACAAAATATGACCTTACTTTTTGATCTTAAATTGGTAAAATATTTCTTAAAGCCATTGTTGAATATATTAAAGTTCATGTTTTTTACTGATCAGATATAAATCCTGAAAAACTAAATACTATTTTTTGTGGAATTTTTTAATATTAGCAGATAGTAAACTATTATTAACAATATTTTAAATATTAATAA